CGGTGCCTTGGCAACAGCGCCACCTGTGGGAGGTGTGGGGACTCGTTTTTAAAGTCGGCAACTTATTTTACGTATGTTATTAATTTACAGTATTTGGAATATTTTTACCCCGCCTTTCTCCTAAGAAAGGACCTGAGGTGGCTTACATCATTAAAAACACGACATTAAAATCTAACAGCAGTAAAGTATTCAAATATTTAAAAAGAATTAAAGACACATATTAAAAATGTTAAACAGGGTAAAACAGTACGAAAACATTTAAAAGCAACAAATGGTACAGGCCATCCCATTTTAAAAACTCCCTTAGACAGCCAGTGACTAAGGAAAAGGTGGTCTAAAGAGAGAGATCTTTACCTGTGGGAGGAAAGCAAAGATGGGGCCAGCCTGGCTTCCCATAGGAGGGAGTTCCAGCGTCTGGGAAGAGTGTCAGAGAAAGCCTTCTCCTGGGTCCCCACCAAGTGCACTTGTGAAGGTGATGGGACTGAGAGAAATGCCTCTCCTTATTGCCTTAACACCTGGGAGGGCTCCTAGAGGGAGGTGCCATCTCTGAGATAGCTTTTGCTGAGCGATTCAGGGCATTAGAGGTTGAAACCAGTACTGTTCAGAATTGTGCTTGAGAACAGATCAGCAGCCAGTGAAGCTGCTGAAACAGGACGCAGAGAGTGGGGTAGGTGGTTGCAATGCCAAATGTACTGAGGAAGTGATATAGCGATAAGCATTTTAAAATTTTTCAAAAGATTTTAAAGAAAAAAAGGGCAGTGTCCCTGCCACCCAAAATCCAGACAGGGACAAATTAAAATGACAGCAACATTCACACCCACAAAACTGCACTAGTTTGAACTGATTTTAGAAGCCCCTGCCAGCCACTTGGGGAAAAACACCTTGCTTTGCAGCCCGTATAAACCAATTTCACCCTTCCGTTGTGTTGCCGATAAAATCTAAATCAATTTAAATGATGCTGAAATGTAGTATTCTGTTATTCTCACTCACTCACTCACTCACTCACTCTCTCTCTCTCACACACACACACACACACACACACACACACAGAAGACTTAGAGCAAGCGAGTTTTATTTCATGTCTGCAGGCATGGAGAGAACACACCTGGGCGGGAGTGGTCTCTGCTATTCAAGCATTCAGCAATACATTTTATACCCAACGCAACGCAACCCCTATTTGTCCCTCTGGCCAATCCTGACCAACACAGAAAGCTCACAATCTACCTGTCACGTGACCCGAAGTGCACCTACGCCCATATATGTATCCCACCCCCCCTACTACACTAACTCTACGCTGACTCATGTTTCCTAACTAACTTTCCACTTTCATTTCTCAATTCTTGTGAACTTAGAACTATTGCTTCACCTATCCATATCAAGTGCAACCGCAGCCTCAGTAGAAAAATAGGAAAAATGAGAGTCTCCACATGTGGGAGAGATCCTCCATGTTTCCTGTATGCTTGGAGGTCAGGAAAGGGAAGAGAGAGAGAGAGAGAGAGTAGCAAACAAAGGAAGCAAAGCAAACATCCACCAAGAACTTTATCAATAGGTTAGTGGCAGAAGAAAATCAGCTTAGGTTGTGAGGAGCCCCTCCCGCTGTTACCACAGGTCAGGGTGTCCAAGACTGGGCAACACAGAAAGCTTTATGGATACTGTCTTGACAAGCATGGCAGGGGCCCGTCCTCCAGAGATGCCACCCCAGAGGAGGGACACGGCAGAGGCAGAGTTGCACATGCAGGAGCCCTGAAAGTCAAAAGAGACTGATCTCTTGTCTTACTGGGCTGAAAAGGAGGCTGTGAAGTCTGGCCAGGGTGGCAATGGGACGGCTGTCTGTCTTGGTCACCAACTAGCGTGCCCAGTGAGATAACATTCTCTCAGGCAGGGGACATGGTCAGTCCTTGCTGCTCAAGTCAAGAACCTGGTTCTGTAGAAAAACTTATTTTCCTTAAAGTCAACCTATCATTGCTGGAACTACTAACAAGAACTTAATTCACAGCCTTGAAGAAGATAATTTATCATCGAAAGCTAAACTTATTTTCCTTAAAGTCAACCTACCATGGCTGGAACTACTAACAAGAACTTGATGCACAGCCTTGAAGAAGATGATTTATCCTCGAAAACGAAAGCTTGGTCTGTCTGTCTGTCTGTCTGTCTCTGTCTCTCTCTCTCTCATTTGTGTTCTTTCCAGGACTATCCGGCCTTTTCCTGATTTTTCCTGTACTGTAAGATACCATAGAATGGCCCGATCAGGGCATCAACTGAAGACCAACATAAGTTGTTGAACAACATGGACTCTCGGCACCAAACAAGCAGTACTGCATGCTAAAGAAAACATCCACCAGGTAAAACTATTCATTTGGCTTTAATTTGCCTTACATTGACTCTTCCTGGTGGTTTAACCAAATTCCTAATCTCAATTCTGCTAGAGGCAGGCCATGCCACTGGTCAGTCTTCCCTCCCCCAACTGAAAAGAAACTCTTTGAGTTTAAAAAGGCAGAAAGGGAGATGGGGGGAGCAGATTACCTATGGCTGCCCTCTGTTTTAAGAGATGGGCCAGAAATTCCAAACTTCTAGCTGAGAGGAGCTTGAAAGCAACTTGCATACCGTGCACTACCTAAGAAGCGAACCTGGCTTCAACGTCATCAGCCATGTGAATTTGGGACATTAATAACAGCACATAATCCTGGAACTACCCACACAAACCTGATGCACAGCCTTGAAGAAGATGATTTGCCATCAAAAGCTCAGTGTTTGTCTTTTGCTCTATATTCTTAATGGTCAATTAAAGGTATCTCCTGCGGCCTTTTCCTGATTCTACCATTGTTGGGTTTCCCTGAAGCCCCCTTTAAGTAAGAGAGAATGACACGCTCTGCTCGTGGACTATGAATGCTAGACTTCGGTCTGTTCCTTCTGCCTTTTTCATTCTTCCAACTGCTGCTCCAGGACTGTGCTCAGTCACTCACCTGTGCTGTGCCCATTGCCGTTGGCACAGTTCCCACCTACCTCAAGCTCTTTGCTGCCCCAGTCTGCCTGCCAGGGCTGCCCAGGGCATTTGCCCCTCCACCCCCACTGTGACCTGTCCTCTGCTTCCTCAGTGCTGCTGGCATTCCTACTGCTCAGGGTTCAGTCAGTATGCCCATCACAGTCATTTCCTAATATCTAGGCTGTTGGTGTGCACTCTTTTGATTTGGCACAATCACCAGGAAGGTGTCAGAGGACACAGTGAATTCCTTTAAAATGTTTTGCCTGCTTGGGCTTTTTTGACAGGTGGAAATTATGATTACTGTATTCATATTGACTGTAACAGGATTCCAAATATCCAGAAATTTGGAAATGTAAAAATTCCAAATTCTGAATTGGACAGGCTGTAATTCCAAATTCCAGCCCCAAATTTTGGTCCTAGTGCACATCCCTTTACCAGTCCCTTCTTATGGGGGTGGCTCTGGGTCTGTGCAGCTTGCCCAAGGTTAAACAGGCTGTCTCTTCTTCTGGGAGGCACAGTAGGGAACTTGAACTCCCAGCTTGTGATTCTGCAGCCAAGTTCTCCAACTCACTGTGCTATCAAGTCAGTGGAATATGTGTGCCTTATAATATAATAGGAGAAAACCAATGTAACTTAAGATATATCTGTTGTAAATTAAAAGAAATTTTAACAACTTTAACTGTGTTATCAAGAGAAACTCTCACTCTTTTTAATCAGCCTTTACCATCTGTCCCTAACATTTATTTAATATTATTTTTATTTTTACATGTATACCTTGTCCTCTTGCCAGGATATTGTAGGTGGCATATATGATGTCATGTATTTTTCATCCAGAAAGTATATCACACATTTAAAGACTCTTCTATATTCTCTCTGCCTCGCACCTTCTTCAATTTCAGCAGAAACTTCACAACTTTGTCTCTTCCTGCTGCTCTGTCTTTACAAGTACTCTCTGAGGATGTATGTGTGTCTTTTTCTTGTAGAGCAGCTCCTGAAGCCAGGAAGAGACCAGAAATTCTGTGGAGCAAATGGACCTCAGGATTCCTATCTCCAGAGTCAATGGCATCTTACTGGATGGCTGACATTTTGCAAAAGGCAACATTGACAAGGAACAGAGTGGACCCAGGATTACAGACAACAGGGTCCAACTTAGTCTCCAACATGTTTAGTTCGATGCAGTCATTAACAGCCATGGAACAACTGAGTGGTTCAAAACTGGGAAAAGAGTACGGCAAGGCTGTATATTGTCCCCCAGCTTATTTAACTTATATGCAGAATACATCATGCGGAAGGCTGGACTGGAAGAAACCCAAGCCGGAATTAAGATTGCCGGAAGAAATATCAACAACCTCCGATATGCAGATGATACCACTCTGATGGCAGAAAGTGAGGAGGAATTAAAGAACCTTGTAATGAGAGTGAAAGAGGAAAGTGCAAAAATGGTCTGAAACTCAACATCAAAAAAACTAAGATCATGGCCACTGGTCCCATCCCCTCCTGGGAAACAGAAGGGGAAGATATGGAGGCAGTGTCAAATTTTATCTTCCTGGGCTCCATGATCACTGCAGATGGAGACAGCAGCCCTGAAATTAAAAGACACCTTCTTCTTGGGAGGAAAGCCATGACAAATCTTGACAGCATCTTGAAAAGCAGAGACATCACCTTGCCAACAAAAGTCCGAATAGTCAAAGCTATGGTTTTTCCTGTCGTGATGCATGGAAGTGAGAGCTGGACCATAAAGAAAGCAGACCGCCGAAGAATTGATGCCTTTGAATTGTGGTGCTGGAGGAGGCTCTTGAGAGTTCCCTGGACTGCAAGGAGAACAAACCTATCAGTTCTAAAGGAAATCAACCCTGAGGGCTCACTGGAAGGACAGATCCTGAAGCTGAGGCTCCAGGACTTTGGCCATCTCATGAGAAGAGAAGACTCCTTGGAAAAACCTTGATGTTAGGAAAGTGTGACGGCAAGAGGAGAAGGGGACGACTGAGGATGAGATGGCTGGACAGTGTCTGCGAAGCAACCAGCATGAACCTGACACAACTCCAGGAGGCAGTGGAAGACAGGAGCATGCTCTGGTCCATGGGGTCACGAAGAGTCGGATACGACTAAATGACTAAACACACATTAACAGCCAAAGCAGTCAGTGGCCAACCATAGGGATCAACTCAAGACAGCCTCCTATCATCAAAATAGATAGCACAATTGAGATCACATTTATGTTCATACTTACCTTTATGAAATAGTAGTACTTTTCGGCTTTGCCCCCTTAAGCTCAGCAGCAGTTGCTCAGCTCCTTCAATGCACACATGCCGAAAGGTGTCAGACTCCTGCATGCACTAACCCACATCCATACTATGCATTCACCTCCCCTCCAACTGCTGAATGCAGCAGTTCTGGGTGATCCGAAATAGTGTCCAAATTATTCTCAATACTCTTTCAAGAAGCACGCACTTCCCATAAATACTGCACAACTCCAGTCTGCCTGGATAGTACTTTGATCTTGTTTTGGAAACACTCCACCCAGTACTCCTGTCTGCTTTGAGAGTACCAATTAGGTCAGCCATCTGTTGTTTTAATAGTCTTTTTATGCCTTCGGACTAACCCAGTTTAAGCCTTCTATTTAGGTACTGCTGGGAGGGAAGTCCTCTCTTGTGTGTGGGAACAGCATCCCCTAGTGAACTAGATAATGAACGTAAGAGCAAATAAGATAACTCATCTGATTTGGAGGATATTTCCTCCCCACCCACCCCCATCCCATTCCTTACTACTAACAACACAGAGTGCTAGTGCTACTGTTATCCTGCTCTGCAGGTGCCAACTTTTCAGCTATTCCCTGCATCTGTGCTTTTAACAGCACTACAACTGATGCTAACATTCACATCCATGCCCTCAAAAGCTTTATTTATTTTTGCACATTAAGCAATTGATCTTATTATAAACAACTGATCTTATTATAAGTCCAAGAAACAGACCAGGCTTGTGTTTAGTTTTCTGGAACACCTTGGGTCTTAGTTATCAAAGGTAATTCGGAGGCTACATTTTGCAGTTGCTAACAAAATACAAAGCACATGCTAATAATGCAATATGTAGAAAGATACTTCTATATATAAATTGGATTCTTCCTTCCGGAGAGTGGAGGCTCAGTCCTGATAAGGCCACTGCTGGTGCACAGTGGGAAAGGGGAAAGCACCTACAACATTCCTCTCCATTGGGATTTTCCAGATAGAAGTAGATTTATGGTAACAACAACAACAAAACCACCAGTAGTCACATTTTTATTAAATACATTTATTACCTCCTTTGTAAGAGAAGCATGTATTCCACAGAGGCTGGTCCAAATCCTTACAGACCTTGCCTTTATCATATAACTATTAAAAAGAATACAAATGCTGTAATGGATTAAATGCTGACAAACCAATGGGAGCTGAAAAAAAGAAAAACTGTCTAAACAATTGATCTTGGAACATTCGTCTTATGGGCACAAAGAGTTCCCAATGTGCCAACTTTAGACGTACAGGCAGATCAGTTTTATCTTCTGGAAATAAAAGATTGCCGTGTGCGCAACAGCAGTAGTGGAGTAACATGGGCTCTAGCTGTGAAGGTCCACAGACACCTGGTCTTTAAGGCTATGCTTACAAAAGTGCATCTAGATATGGAGGTAGTACAAGGCACAAGATTAAAATTCTTCTTTACTACTTAAGCAACCTGGGGGAATGAGCTGAATAATTATATTAGGAAAGAGCCCTAATCTTAGAGATACCAAATAGCTACAAAACAAAATCATTACTTCCTTCAGTGGCTGTTATACAGTAATATCAGAATGGTGACACTAATTATGGGTATCACTGAAGTTACCAGTGGTCAATCCCCAATGTAAAAATAGATGGTACATCCAACTCAAAAAGTTGCTTTTTTTGGCCTACAACTCCCAGATTTTGCCAGGCAGCATTAACAAATTCCAATTCCAGGAGTTGTAGTCTGAAAACAATAGATTTTCAAGCTCCAATCTGACCACAGGTACTGCCATTTTAATATTTGGGAACGCAGGCATCTGAAAATAGTGAAGGAAGACCAAGTTCCCCTGGATTAGATATGCTATTTTACCCTTTTCTAAAGCTGCCAAGTTCCATGCCAGCTTAGATCATTACAATAAGAAACACTACACACCAAGGGTGAAAGTGAATTGGTTTTAGATGGCCTCTTTTCTGCTCTGTAACACACCCTCCCCCAGTTTCACCACAAGTGAGTATTAATGAAGGAGTTTTAAGACCCTTGTGAATACCAACTTTTGAAAGCAAGCGGTGGAAGGACACACAAGGTCTGCTCAATGTAAGCATTCCAGTAAGTACAAACAATCTTTGCATTTGGCCTAGGTACCTCAAGGGCTTTCAGTGCCCATCTCTCATTGAGCAAAAGGCAGTGGCTGGGACAAGGCATACAAGGAAGAACACTGTTGTGCATGTTAAAAGTCAGCACTCAATGGAAGGCTCGTCCCTGATTGTAACTCCTCTACCCCCCTCTAATAGCTCCCGCTCCACTGATACAGCATGATCCAATGTTCTCAGAAATAAGTTCCATCCTGACAACTTTGTAGGTTGTGTAAAATCTCTTTTTATCTATTAAAGGAGGGAATCCTTTTATTTTAATTTTTTTCCTTCACTCCCTCACTGCCCATGAGGTGGGTATGTTTGCTTACGCATCTGCCTTGGGCTATGGCCACATTAGCTGCAGATGAGGGAATCCAACATATCTTGAAGGCAACAGCTTGGGAAAGGGAACTACACTGCCTTGTTACAAACAGATACCTAAACATGGAGCAGGAAATTTCTTGCCATAAACTGAAATGTAGATGGACAACTGCTTACAAATCCAGCTGGAAAAACTGTATGAGCACAGATGCTAATGCTGAAAGCATGCCTATATGACTAAACGCTGTTCTCAATGTTGAGTGCACCAGCACCTACTAGCAGACCATGGACGCCACCTGTGGTTTGGAACAGAGATTCTTCAGAATCCCAGGATCCTACACACACTCCAAACCTGTAGTCCTAAACTCACTTTTGTGCAACACAATGGGACTTATTTCCAAGTACATCTGAATACAAGTGTATTAATATTATTTCCAGGCTGGTTTTTCTCCCCTGGAATTTTCTTTCATATATAAGGTTAGTTAAGTTCAGCTGGATAAATAACTCTTTCTCATTAGTCTGCTGCTGCAAAAAAGGTATTTATCTCACTTGTGTTGGGAAGTTAACTTTGTACTATTTAACATAGGCAATAAATACTGATTTAAAAGACATGCAAATAGAATAAAATATGCAAATATTCATGTAATGGTCTAATTCTTCCTTGTTGTGCAAAACTAAAAGGCTAAGCATCTGTCCAGAAGGGCCACTTCCTATGGTTTTACTGTATATTCAGCAGTCGTACATTACAGTAGGAACATGATAGTCAGTGCTGTAAGAACGCAAGGACTTGGCAGAACTTGGAAAACTTTTGTTTTGGATTACAACTCCCAGAATCCCCCAGCCAGGGATTCTAGGAGTTGTAGTCGAAAACAAAAGCAGCTTCACATAGCTCTGGTTGTTTGTGGCCCACTACATCTACCGTTTGGCCAAGAAATAAAATGAAGGTGTGTTAAAACACAAGTGCCATAGAAGCTTCTGGTACTGAAGAAGGCAGGTGGCCCTTAGGGGCAAAGCCAGTCTTCTTGAGAAGTGCCAGTGGCATACGAGGCCAGGACAGCTCTGCAGGCCTTCCTTTCTTCGGTAACATGCTATTTGTGTGTTTATGTTTACAAAATCGTCTTGGTTTTCTCATGAGATATGGTGAGATTGTGACGCCCTCTAAGGCCGCCCACAAGAAAGAAAGAAAAGGGGTGTGTGTGGAGAAATGACATGGCCAAAGTTGGGATGCAGTTCTTTCACTGCCTGGTTTGAACCCACTGACACAACCAAATAACTAATAGGCAGGCTTTGCTATAACAGCATCAAGAGTGTGTGTGTACCAAGAAGTGTGCAGTTCCAGCTGACTAACATCAGTAGTGCTAGAAATGTTTGGCTAGGACCAACGACAAGTGCAGGAGGTTGGAAGGAGACATGGTCCTTGGCGAGTTAACAGAGATTGTTGGCAGGTCAACTGGAGATCGGTACAAAGCAGCAGGAATGCCCCAATAACAAGGGAGTGGGAAGAAGAGGGAGGGAGAGACCTTGGCAAACAGGGAAGCTCTGTTAACTGAGCACTGAAACAGAGGGGCTCAGCTGTGATATCTGCAGAACTTCTCCTAGGATTAATGCTTGCCCGACAGAAAACAGGAGAGGAAGTGCTCACCACACCAGGCTGTAGGCAGGAAGGACAGCCCCACAAGGGCCCTGGACCAAAGCTTTGGAGGGTTAGCTCTTTTAGTTTGGACTGAATGAATTAGCCATATGGGTCCTGAACTTTGGCAAAGAGGTAAAACCATATCTTCTAAAGGCAGGCACACTCCTCTGGACTCCACTTCTTTCTCAATACGATGGCAAGGCTGACAAGAGATTTCAGCCACCTTCCCTGCAGACAGCTGTTCTTGCTAACATCAGCCTTGTGGCTTCTTTGGGCCACCCGAGTGCTTCAGGGTACTCAGGAGACCACAGAAGAGCTCATACCAGAAGAAGGTGAACCCCGTTGAGAAAGCAGCCTTCAGCAAGCTTGGGGAAAGGCCCTTGAATAACCCTCGGGTCCCCTCCTCCTGAACAACATGCCGGGCACAGTCCACAAAACCAGTGTAGGTCCGCACCTGGAGAAATGAGAGAGGCGTGAGCACCAGCAGAAATGCAGCTCCTGTAGAAAACACTGGGCATATTTGTCTGCCAGGGGAGAACTGAATCACCAAACCGTGAAGATTTGCTGTTATGAAACTAAGAAAACTTCCAAAAACATTTTCCTTTCATCAGGCCTTTCAAAATCTGCCAGCCTAAGATCCCTAAGAACATCAGCCTTTTATCCAACTGCCGTCTGTTTTTCAGCTTTTTATTTTATTTATTTTTATTTTATTTATTTAATTTATATCCCACCTATCTAGCCAACTCAGGACCACTCTAGGCGGCTAACAATCCAAGTTCCTTAAGTTCCTTTACCTTAAGTGTTTATTATTTAGTTCAATTTGTTAACTTAATTTAATGCATCTGATTATGTCACATTTATTTTGTTATTGTTATTGTCTATGAACTGCCCAGAGTGACCATTGGTCAGATGGGCGGTATAAAAATTGATTGAATGAATGAATGGGGAACAATCACAATGAATTCAGCAGGTCTGATAAATTTGGCCAACCTGTATGAGGAAGCTTTTTTTGGAGACAGAGAATGAGCAGAAAAACTGGCTTAATGAACATGTAATATGACCCCATGCTATTTTGTCACATGCACAAACCTAGGTTACCCTTTCACTTTGTGTGCAAAGGGAGATTTCAAAACTTCAATTCATGGTATTTTAACAAACCACTGGTCTCTGTTTTGTCAAAATGTGGGAAACAGTGGTTGGTGCAAAGTATTCTTAAGGAACAAACCAGGATGTCAAACTAGCTCCTGATCACTCCCCAAAACTTTACAGTCTTGACTTCTTATGAACAAAGAAAAAGAGGGAATTCATGAGGTGATGGCTTGTGCCTATTTGTTTCTTGATCCTTAAATTGTGACTTGGAGGACAGTTTGAATGTGGCTATTTTGTATGAATGTTCATTCTGACTCATCAGCATGTGTGAAGGTGGAAGTGGGAAGTTATAGTGATCTACACAAGCACATTGCCCATAATGGGATTGAAGAAATAGAAACAGATCTATTAAAAGTAATGGCTAACACAATTTTATTCTCAGTTTTGTTGGGAGGATAGCAATCTTGCAGGCATTATCAGTGGGAGGGTGCTTTTTACAGCCTAAAATGATTGTCCTTTGTCACTAACTTGATTTGTAAATTTCTTTTCCCACCTCTGAGATTTAATGCAAGCCCTGCCCCATCTTACTTATTTTTTCTTTTTTGCTTGCTTCCATTTTTTTTAATAGCGCCTTCTCTTTCTGACCTTCCTCCAAACAACAAACATGTGGTGGAGACGTTTTTTTCCTCTTTGTTCCTTCTGACTATAACTGCAAATGGTAACTGTAAGTATAATTTTTCTACCTTTAAATGCTTCGAGAGTGATTTTTTGATACAAAGTGCTAGAGTTTGTGTGAAAGAAACCAAGGAGGAGAAATTGTTGAGACTGAGCTGATCTCTCCACACTCTTCTTGCTGTTTTTCCCCTCATCTCACACTCTGCTAAAAAGTAAAATGGCCAAAATTCCTCAATAAATGTCACACTCTGTTTTCTTAATATAAGTAACTTAATGGTCTGTAGTAGTCAGACACAAAAGGAAAGTAGGGGAAGGAATCTGAAATGCTTCTTACCTGCCCGAACGCAGCCCGTGCTTGCTCAAAGCCGCCGACCTGCAATCGTTTCTTGAAGAGGTCAAAAGGGTACGTCAGGGTTTTGCTGAGGACTCCAGCACAGCTGCCGCACACAAAGTTTTTAACATTACCTGAAAAGCAGAGAAACCAAAAAGAATGATGTATTTCTGACTCATTTTACAAAAAGACTAACTCTGGATTAGAAAGGCCTTTGTAACACTCAGAAAGACAAAGAACTAGGTGGCAAGGAAAATCTTGAACTACAGGGTGAGGCTACTCTTATTGAAGGTTTTTAGTGCCATTAATAATGAGTCATTACTGTTAGATATGTCACCGCCTAGTGATTTAAAACCCATACGGAAAGCTTCTTTGTACGAATGCTTTTAAGTGCAGCTGGATACTGCTTTGTGACGGTATACTCCAGTAGCACCATTTCTCTCTCGGTCTTGGACTAACCTGTTTTCATTTCTTCAGCTGGAACAACCCAGTCATACAGCTTCTTCAGCAGACTATAAAAAGAAAACTGAAAGCCTGCATAGGGGACAACAGCAATGACGGTAGGGCTGAGCCCTCTATAAAAGGCCCGCAGTCCTTCTGTCTGGTACATGCTTGCCACTGCATGACGGATATTCCTGTAAATCTAAAACAATTTAAGGATGAATACATTTTCTTCCACTCTCTGAACTCTAGCATGTATCCTGCTTGCACCAATGCTCACAAAGAACTCAAAAAATTAGGAAACAATGTTCCCACGACCCATCTCTTTAGTTTATGCATATCCTTCCCCTGTTGTTTCCTGATGCGCTTACTCAAAAGGAATTACTTGGGAAGCCTGATTCTATCTGTTTTCTGTGTTATATGCCATCAAGTCATATTGAACTTACAGTGACCCTAGTAGAGTTTTCTTGGTACAGGATCTATTCAAGCACTTCATTTGCACATAAAGAAAAACCAGTTTTCTTTGAATATACTGTACAGTGTATGAGCACATAACATCCATTCATTCTCCTTTCATTGTTTCCATTCTGTAAGCACCGAAAACCACTTCCCAGCAATAGCAGAAAACAAAACTGCTCCAGCCATCATGTGTCAGCCCTTCAAATATTTAAAAAGAGCCATCATATCACCTGCTGGTTGCATAGCTCAATGATTTAGGTAAATGGCTGTGGAGGCACAGACTGGGAATTTGATCCCCACCTCTCACTGTCTCTTGGGAGATGAGCCAGCCTGTGTAGCCTTGGGCAAGCTGCACAGACTCAGGGCACCTCCAGAGGGAGTTGAAGGCCAAACCACTTCTGAGTGCTCTACACCTGTAAAATCCTGGAAGGGTTTTCCATAAGTTCGCATTGACTTGATGGCCTACAATTATTATCACTGTATTACTTCTCAGTCTTCTTTCTTCCACATTAAACATACCCAGCTCTCTCAACTGTTCCTCACAGGGCGTACTTTTCAGATCTTTTAGCATCTTGGACACCCTCACGTGGAATTTATCTTCCACATTAAACATACCCAGCTCTCTCAACTGTTCCTCACAGGGCGTACTTTTCAGATCTTTCCCTCACGTGGAATTTGACAATAATCCATTTTAGGAACACAGAAGCCAAATGAAGTCTGACCAATGTGGTACTATTATTTCCTTTGATCTGGACACCACATCTCTGATTGCACTAGTTTGTTTGGTTTTCTCCCCTTTTTGATAATACATCACACTATTCGTGTGTAGCTCATAACCAGTAAGACTCCAAGATCACACATAAATATGCAGCTATTCCATCTCTCCCCTCCACAGATTGTTGCCTTGTCATGGCAAAGGGGGTTGAGTAATTCAGAGAAGCTATGGGCTGCGCCATGCGGGGACACCCAAGACGGACAGGTCATAGTGGAGAGTTCTGACTAAACACGATCCACCTGGAGCAGGAATTGG